CTCACCTCCGGCACGTCCAAGCCCCTCGCCGCCATATCCGTCGACACGAGAAGGCGCGTCTTGCCCTCGCGGAACAACGACATCGCGTCAGCCTGGCAAGCAACCACCCGCCGATTTAACGAGTTCGCAGCAGCAGTGGCAGCAGCAGCGGTGGAGCTTGGAAGTCAGGACAAAGAACACAAGTACACGTCGCGGGCGGTGCTGACAAAAATCCATCTATGCAGCGCCATGATTTCTGCCGCTCGGATAAGTGCCACGCACACATTCCCCGGTGCAAGGGCCGACACGGCTCAAAAGTCTGCTACACAGCCTCCTACGCCGCTGCCACCACCCCTGACGATGCTGCGAAGCGGTGCATTCCCCCCAGGCGATCCACAAGTGCCAGGAACAAATTCCGCACTAGACGCAACCGGCCCCATTCGTGCGGCTGTGCCGAAAACACAGCAGGCAGGCCCCCGGCATCAATCCAAGCTCAGTCAGATGGGATGAAGAGTTCAAACATTTCAACCGAGAATATTCATAACGCGGGTCGAACCCTGTCTCCGTCGTCCTCACCCGCGCGTTCAAGCCCAGCTCCTCTCGAAGAAACTCTGCCAATGGTGGTTGTGGCGGTTGCGCACCCCTACCCTTCGCCTGCTGGTGCTGGTGCTGGTGCTGGTGCTGGTGCTGGTGCTGCTCTCTCCCGCCGCGCTCGCCGCCGCCCCCGCCCCCGCTCCCGCGCCCACCCAGCGCCTTGTCGAGCGACGCCGCGATTCCTTCGAGGGGCTTGGTGGCCAGCGCGAACACGAGCCCCCTCGTGTCCGCCTGGACGTCGGTGTTAGCAACACCGCCCCCGCCTGCTTGACCCTCCGATGGGCTGTCTCCCTCCCCCGCCGTGGTCGCTACGGCTGTTGCACCTAGTGGTGGTGGTGGTGGTGGCGCTCCTGATGTCAGCTTTGCTGCTGCCTCAGAAGCCGATACACCGAGCTCTCGCTTGACCAGGGCCCTCAGGACCGCTAGCTTTTGCTCCGGCGGGCACACGACGTAGTGGTGGGACAGGCACGGCGGCATAGCCTCCTTGGCGTGCACTTGCACGTGAACCGGCTCGGTCAGCGTCCACTGTTTCTGCAACGTCGGCGTTTGGCAAAACACGTCCGTACATGGATTCCGCGATGTCAACGACGCCGGAACGAAAACATTGTCTGCTCCTCGCGGGGAGTGGAGCTCACGGTTTCTTTCACCGTGGTACGCAGGATTGGGACGGTGTCATCGGGGCAAAGGAGAAAAGGCGTACGGGACGCAATATTCACCACACATGTCCGTAGGTCTCGTCGAGGACTCGTATCGTCACCATAAAAGTGATACTCTGGCCGGAAATAGGGTCAGTTTGGACGTTTGGCAAACTGCTTTGTACGTACGTGTGAGCCTCCGCCTCTCTCCCCCGAGAACAAGACATATGTTCTTCCCCCCAACTTCCTCCGCGGGGATGCTGGCATCTTCTGTCCCTTCCTGAATTGGCCCCTGGGCGATGCACTTTCATTGTGGCCAAACGCGATGCCCATCTACGGAAGATACCACCCTACCAGGACGCACTGCCGGATGAAGTGGTTACGCTGCGGTGCCTGCCTACCGAAGATATTACACTGCCGGAGGAAGTGATTGGTGCTGCGGTGCCTACCTACGGAAGATACCACCCTACCTGGACGCACTGTCGGATGAAGTGGTTGTGCTGCGGCACGGTCGCGCTCGCGAACACCGTCTGCCTGTCCCTCAGCTTCCTATTCACCGGCGCCGCCGCCCCCGTCACTCTCCCGGCCCCGACCTCGGCCAGTCTCACCGCCTCCTCCTCGTCCTGCTCGACGATGATTGGCCAGTTCGTCGGCAGAAAAACGGACTGTGGCATTATCTCGAATGGGTAGTCTCGCTTTGATTGTACGGATATTTTCGAAGACTAAGAAACATGAAAAAAGAGCCCGGCGGTGGCGACGGCGAGAGAAAGGAACGAGGAAACCCGCAAGTCTGATTCCGTCTTACCATTGCTCGACGTGAAACGCCGCTTCCGGTGGGTGCTCTAGACCTTGACCCATTGGTGGTCGACCGCCACTCTAGATTGCTTACTCAACAGCAGGGCGTCTGAAGTGGTAAGTATCTAAAAATTATGATTGCAGGCCATGAACAAGATTTGCTTGCCCCTGCTGCTGTTATTCTCATTGGAGTACGTATGTATTACGGCGGCAGCAGCAGCTGCTGCTGTTGCTGCTGGGCGTACCTCTCCCTCGTCCTCGTCAGCGTGCGTCGGGGACAGGCTGCGGGCCAGGAGCTCGTGCAGCGATGCACGGGTGCCCTCCGACAGCAGGCACGCGTCCACCTCGTCCACGACCACGTACGACACGGCGTTCACGCGGACAGCGCCGGTCGTGACGAGCCGCGTCAGGCTCTCCGGGTTGCCGATGACGATGTGCGGGGGGTCCGCCCAGGCCCACGCGCGCTGCCGCTTATTGCTGGACCCTTCGAGCACGGACATAACCTACGTTGAGGGAGCGTGTGTGAGGTTTCTCGTGTAAGGTGGTCTACCTGGAGGGGTGCAACAAAAACACTAAAAAGAAGGTGCATGCGTCTGCTCTCTATGTAAGAGAAAATCGTGATTCCGACCGAAGTACTACCTACAGCTACGCGTTTTGGGAACAGCAAGTTGACCAAGCTGGGTTATGACAAAAAACAGATCCACATTGCAACGTGTGACAGCGTCAGCACCTTGTTGTCTGTACAAAGGGTATCATGATCCAAGGCTGACATAAAACAAAAAAAGACCGTCGAACCGCCGACGCAGCAAGTTGCCGACGCCTTTCCGAGCAAAAGTTGTCACCTGGATCTTGCTCTCCCTGCCCGAGCTTGTTCCCGCGGCGAGACGCTTGGCCACGCCGGCCACCTGGAGACCCAGCTCGCGCGTCGGCACCACGACGAGTCCCTGGACGGCCGCCCGCGAAGGATCGACTCGGGCGAGCAGCGGCAGGAGAAACGCAAGGGTCTTGCCGCTGCCTGTTTGCGCGTGCAGCACGGCGTCGTGCTTTCCCTCTCCCAGGATGACCTCGAGGGCCTGGCGCTGCACCAGCGTCGGGGTTGCGAAGCCGAGCTGCTCCAGCCGAGTCAACAGCCAGTCCGGCAGCCGGCCCCGGAACAACTCGCGGAACGTTCCACCGTTGACGGGACCGGGATCGGCGGCTGCGGCGCCGTTGGGCGTGGAGGAGAAGACGTTTCCTCCGTCTAGTAGTGGCGCAGGAGAATCTTGAGATGCCGCCCCTCCTTTTCTTGTGCCACTGCTGCTGCTGCTGCTGCTGCTACCGGTGCCACCACCGTCCGTGGTGGGTGCTGCCGTTGCATCATGACACACGCGTGCACTTCGCCGACGTTGCCTGCTGCTGATGCTGCTGCGGCCGAGCGCAGCTCTTCTTTCGCCCACCACCATCGACAGCGAATCCCCAGCAGCTTCCGCCCCCCCCTCTTCAACCACGGTGTATTGGCGTGGTCGATGCCGACATCTGACGACGCGGCTGCTGCCGGTGCCTCTCCTGCTGTGGTTTGAGGTTGCAGTTCGGCCACGAAGCAGTCCTGTGGTCCGTGAAGAAGGTGGGGTTGACAACGGAGGTACGAGGGAGAGCACATGCGTGATCGCCAAGACACTCAGAAGAATCTTTCGGGGCACAGGCATGGTAGCAGGTGCAGGCTATTTCACCAAGGCGTGGTGCTTGCAGCAGCTCTTGCAGCTGCAACAACTGAAGTCTCGGATTGTCGGACTTGTCGGATTGGGGACGGGGCCAAGCAGAGCGGAACGCGGAATTGCGCCGCATTTTGGTTCTGAACCGTCAACCGTCAACGCCATCCATCCTGCTTCACTGCTTCATGCTCTTCCGGGATCTGAACACAGAGCGTCTTTACCTCGCAGTACTTTCGTAGCGGCAATCTCTCGCGTAGATCGTCTCTGCAGGCTGGTCTACAGTGGCTATTTCAGACTCGCCATCATGCCTGGCCAACCGGTGGATTTTCTGTATTTTTTTTTTTCGGAATTTTTGTTTTGTTGTTTTTTATTTTTCTTAATACAGTCGAGGGACCCTTTTAGTGCCGGTTGAATAGTGCCAGATGCCCAGTATAGTGCCGGTAAAATCTCTGCACACAGGCGGAGCTCTCAATAGTGCCAGACCGGCACTAATTAAAGCATGCCCGATATAGTGCCGGTTCGGCACTGCTGTCACCCCCAATAGTGCCGGTACTCCGCACGCGCGAAACACACACACGCACAACCCAGGGCAGAAAACATAGACTCCACACACAGAAATAGGGTACACGTGCTGCTGCAGACCCGAACAGCTCTACACAGGGGCGTACCATGCCCTGTGCGGAAGGTGAACTGTGCCAACTACAGGACACCACGCCGCAAGACCCTCATGGTCACGGCTGCCAGGGAGGATGTGGCGGGCGACTGCACGGCATTTGCGGCAGTGTGGTTGATGTAGGCAGCGAGAATCACCTCATCTGCAGCGCGTGCGTCGCCAAAGCCGGCAAGCGCAAAGTGTCAGCAGCAGACAGCACTGGGAAGGCACAATCTAAACGTCCGAAGGCCACGAATGGGGGGAGTAACAAGTCTCAGCCTCGTGCGCGGCCAGATTTCAGCGCCAAGTGTGAGATGCTGAAGCTGATGGATCAGAAGGTGACTCATGAGCAGCTAGCAGATCGCTTCAAGTGCTCGGAACGGTTGGTCCGGGATGTGAAGAAGAACAGGAAGAAGTACGAGACCGAGGCTGCTGCAGGACGCGGAGGAAGCAAGAAAAACGTGCGCACAGGCAATAATCCGGAGGTGCGCTACTCTGCTGTTGTTTTAAAAAAATACGCGTAGTTCCCGCGCCTTCTTTGCCTTTTTTTTTTTGCCGGGCCTTGTTTGCAAAGAGTTTTCGTTTTTGCAAGGACCTTTTTCTGTAGCCTTGTTCGTCTATCTGATGTTCTTGTTCTTTTTTCTTCTTCTCTTGTCAAGTTGTTCCCTGTTCTCTGTTCCCTTTCCCCATGTTTCTTCTATTTCTCGACTGTTACAGTACTTGTTGAGCTTATTCCCTCTCGTCGTTCGTTTGTGTCTTTTTTTGTGTTACCTTTTTTTTCAACTTTCTTTGTTGTTTTATCGTTCGTGCGCTGCTGCGCCAGCATATAAACTGCGAACCAAAAATGTGTACTTGTTTGTACTGTACTGGTACATTACATCGCACGCACACCTATTCTTTCAAACGAGTTACAATACATAAATACACATGCGGATGCAGCGGCGAGCTTCTGTGGTTTTTCAAATGCCCGGAAATGTTTCCTTCCCACTACGATGCACTGTGCAACGAGGCTTAATGTTCGAAACTAATCGTGCTATCTTTTGTACCCTCTTTATTGTTTACTCCTCGTTTGACGGTCAATAGGTGGACGCCATAGCTCTTGACCTACTAGAGAAAGCCCGGAAGACCAAGATGCCCGTCACGCGCGACGTCCTTCGAAGCTTCGGCCGTGCCGCCAGGGCAACCCTGCTGGCTGATCCAGCAGCTTCTAAGGAAGTGAAGGCGAGGGTCGAGGATTTCAAGGCCGGCGAAAGGTGGGCCAGGAACTTCGTGAAGCGCAACAGCATCGACAGCGTGAGACTTCATGGCGAGGCTGGTAGCGTCAACAAGGAGGCCATCAAGGTGGAAGACATGACGGCACAGCTGGCTGGGACTCGAGTGTCTACCGGCCGCGAGGAGGAGGACGAGGAGGAGGACAGCGGCGATGACAACACGGGGCTCGCGCGCCGTGTCCCACCGGCTTATGGTGAACTGTCGTCTCACTTCGGCGTCCTGGAAGCGGCAGCAGAGGAGAGCGGCAATGGAGACGCGGCGCTCTACCTAGCGAAAGCGAAGATGGCGATGATTGCAGCGCATTCCAAGAGGCGGGTGCGCCAGGCAGACATGAGGGAGTTTGTTGCTACGGAGTAAGGGCGGGGAACAGCTGTGGCACTAAAAAAACGGTTGTTTGATTTTTGCGGTGCGCTGCCCGTCGTGCATGCTATTTTTTTTTTCTTGCAACATCGAAGCGGGTGCGCCAGACAAGGAGATAATTTGTCCCGACGTACAGTAGTGAGGACCGGGGTTACAGCTGTGGTAACGGTTGTTTGATTTTTTGCGGTGCGCTGCCTGTCGTGCTTGTTTTTTTTTTCTTGCAACATCGAAGCGGGTGCGCCAGGCAAACAGGAGAGAATTTGTCCCGACGACAGTACACAAATAAGCAAATAAGTGAGGTGCAGAAGAAAATGAAGAACCAAAGAGCGCCCCAAGACAACAAAAAGAAAACTCAACTCTGCCCACGCCCATGCTGGAATTCACTCAACAGTACAGTAATAGTGTCGATCCATTTCGTTCTTTGTTGGCCCCGTAAGCGTGGGCGCTACACCATAAATCGAACACAACCTCATTAGTGCCGGTACCGGCACTAATGAGGGATTGGCCAGCCCTCAATAGTGCCGTTTTGGCACTATTCGCAATAGTGCCGGGTGCCCGATTTAGTGCCGGTGAACGCTCTGTGCACGTACCGGCACTAAAAGGGTCCCTCGACTGTATGACACAACGAGTCCATCTCTATCATAGAAAAGAGTCAGAGACAGATTAACAATGGAATCATAGTTTTTCTCCCATCATTGGACTCTGTCGGCTGCCCCTCTGGCCCCTATCCTCCACTTCTACCAGCTAGACGACCCAACCGGGGTCACATAGGAGGGGGGGGTTGGACCACGTCCTGTGGTTCCTGCCTGAGATATTTATATCGCGAGAAGGGTACAGCAATCCCTTCCCTCGCGACTCAAGAAGTCGATCAAGTTTACGAACAAGGGTGGTTCTTGGTTCTTGACGACCAAAAAGACACGGAACATTTCACGGAAGCGCGTTTTCTTGAACATATACGGAGGCGTTTTTCCCCGGAAACGTGAAAAGAACGAGCCGGGATTTTTCGGGGCTTGCTACTTTCACGGATCCGTGTTTTTGACAGAAGCACCGGACAAGTGCACCGCGGGCACTGCAACATCACTGAGAACGCTAGAACGACCTCCCAGACTCACGTCCAGGTCTGTTGCGGAGATGGACAACCGGAAAAAGCGGCGTTCAGTCCGTTTTTGGTCCAAAAGTAGACATCGCGTGGTGTTTTGTCGTCTTTAACTGGTGCTGTTGGTGCCGGGGAATTTTTTTCAATCACACATAGCAAACTCGGAAACAGTAGAACGGGTACAGCAGCAGTACCAAGACCTCCAACGCGCTGATTCCTTCGGTTCGGCTGTCTACATGATACCATCTCCAGGCACCGTACTGCTTCGTGGGTATTGGGAACTAAGGTGCTGCTCAATAAGGTGTGTGAGAGACGTGTGCCACCTCACCAAAAGGCCGGTGGAAAAAATGCGGCGAGATGTTCGGTTTTTGGTCGGACACGTCAACATCAACCCACTGCATGACGCAGCAGAAGAGTAGCATGGCCTCCGACACGCTAATTCGTTCGGATTGGCTATCTATCAATATGATGCTGGCCGTCAGCGCGGCTGCCGCCCTATGATTGTTGAGCTCGTCTACCTTTGGGCAAGTGGTGGTCAAAGATGGGAGTCGCAACCGTGGAAAATGAGCTGGCAAACTGAAGAAATCGCAAGCAACACCCAGGTTGCGACACTCTGCCCTGCGCGAGATATTTATATCGCGAGAAGGGTACAGCAATCCCTTCCCTCGCGACTTTCGAAGTCGATTTTGGTTTACTAACAACGAGCTTTCTTTGCAGCGCGTCGCTTTCATCCTAGACCAGGATGTATTTAGTGAGAAAAAACTCACGCTGCCGGGACTCGGTGGATGAATGAATGTGGTCGGCGCAATGTATCACTGACGCGCGCGCGTACTTGCGGTTGCTGACGCTTTCTTGATTACAGCATCTGAGCTGCACGTTGGACTCCGAGATTCGAAGCACCTACCCAACACGTTCCTCCTACACCTTCCCAGGAATTCATCGTTACATTTTTTGTGGACTACGGAGTCCATAATGTAAATATAGATAGATGAAATGACGATTGTTTGTGTGCTTGATGAATACATTATGCAGGGTGTGTGCTGGCAGCGTTTTTTTTGCTGCACGGTAGATGACCCAAAGAGAAGTGTCTGTCTCCATGTTGTTCCAATCCGTGGGTGAACATTTGGCGTTTTTCAGCTGTTTACTTGAGGCTAGTGAAAATGGGGTACAAGTTAAGCAAAAAGGGAGGGTGAAATGATCTCAACAGGGACAAGAAGTTAAGGGATACCTATTCAAGGCTTACCTACTTATCATTCTGATAGTAAAGGCTTACCCATTAGACTACTCAGTCAGCGCTGGGCTTACCCTTTAGACTACTGACTGAGTAGTCTAATGGGTCGCTGACTGAGAAGTCTAATGGGTAGTCTAAGCCTTCACCAATCGAAAGATACACTCTCGGCTCGTAGAATCCCGGGCTGTAAGGAGAGATCTCCGGGGACGGACCCCTCGCCAGGCGCTGCCGAGAACAGAACTATGGTGCTTTTTCGTAAAGTGATCAGCCCGGGATTTGAACCTGTGCGTGTATCCTTCGATTGGTAAAGGCTCACCCATTAGACTACTCAGTCAGCAATCTTGAAATCATAGTTCTTTTCCAGCAGCGCCTGGCGAGGGGTCCGTCCCCGGAGATCTCTACTCACAGCCCAGGATTCTACGAGCCGAGAGTGTATCTTTTGATAGATAAAGGCTTACCCATTAGACTGCTCAGTCAGCCGGGTAAGCCTTTACCAATCGCAGGATACACGCACAGGTTCGAATCCCGGGCTGATCACTTTACGAAAAAGCACCATAGTTCTGTTCTCGGCAGCGCCTGGCGAGGGGGCCGTCCCCGGAGATCTCTCCTCACAGCCCGGGATTCTACGAGCCGAGAGTGTATCTTTCGATTGGTAAAGGTTACCCATTAGACTACTCAGTCAGCGCTGACTGAGTAGCCGACTGAGTAGTCTAATGGGTAAGCCTTTGCTATCACATTCCTCTTGCTTACGTGTGGTAGTCTGCTGCAACATCGAAGGGGTGCGAAGGGATGCGTCCGCATGAAGTCCACGAACTGGACACGTGCACACATCTTGGCGTGTACAATGGGTTGTTGGTGGGCAGGCGAACGTTGGTGTTGGGCTGGGAGGTGTAGATGAGGAAGCTCGGACAAGCAACGTACTCACTCGTTCGTGTAGTGTCACCAGACATGAGCAAGTCGTCGAACGGGTAGCCTTTCTGCGAGGATATGTTTACTTCCTAAAAAAGTTGCAGCGGAAAAAAGAAGCCTGATTCAAGATGTTGGATGGGCCGCGGAAAGAAAAAAGATCTACACCACATACTACTTCCCGAAGGCGTATTATCACCCATCCACCCATTAAAGTTCGTTTCACTTGAACCACCACATACATGCACAGTGCTTTCTAAAGAAGAATGGGTGGCACTGCCTTTACTTCCTGTCCGTGTGGCTGTCGAAAGCATGTCTTCACATTCCTTCTAGTGCACCAGTGAGGGCAATGTGCGTGGAGTGGGAGGCACGCAGCGAGGAGGGAACTGCGGGCCAATGTTATTTTTGGGCAGGGCATGAATGTTATGTATATACATGCTGCATACCCCTGCCATTTTTAGTGGTCTATTCTGACAGAAGAGACGAGTATGTTGTGCACGGCGAGCGTTGGAACGTGTGAAGCGAGTGGGGCTGTATGGACACGGACAGACGCGCGGACACAGCCCGGGATTGATCGGCAGAAACACCGAAATAACTCTGAATCCAAGTGAAACGGACCGGAGAAAATGGCGGCCTGTAAGTGCCCGAAAAATGGGAATGCTGACCTGTCAGCGACCCACGCGGAAATGTAAAATGGTTGAACGTGGGAAAGTTAAACAAAAGATAAACGATACATGTTCTTTGTGTGGTGAAAATACGTCAGTCTCAGTGCGGTTGAACACCAAACATGAGTCTCAATGGCCATGATCTGAGACCCTGTTACCCTTCGGATTACAGAAAAATATGTACGGTTTTTGCCGATAATGCTTCATTGAACGTGGGTTTGTTTCGGAGTGTCATCCACGTCCCTGCTTCACCACCTTTGTGGGTGTGTTTGTGGTGCCTGGAATCACCACCTTCGTGGACATGTTAAATGGTGCCCCCACGAGCTTTCCCGTGGGGTTTGTGCTCCCTCTCTCTCTCTCTCTCCCCCGATCTCCCGATCAGTCGATCGAGGCGCACATTCGTTTACCAGGGGTTTCCATTGTAAGGGGCGACGAAGTTTTCGCATTGCGACGTGCGCGTTTTCCGTCTTGTTCGTTCCGGCGGCTTCTACCCGCTTGTTGGAGTCAGACAGTTGTCAGAAGGGCAGATGAAAGGTTCTACATAGCTGACCCCAGGGCCTTGCCATACTTTTTGGAGAGTGTGGGAGAGAGCAAGAGCCCTGCCACAGGACCCTCTGCACAACGAAGACAAATGCGCCCAGGTGTAGTCTTGATCTCCAGATCCCTGCAGTGTCCAGTACAGATACCCCCGAACTCCCACTACTCAGCACTCGAAACGGTCTAGAGTATGAAAGGAACTCTTCACGTATCGCAGTGTAAAACGACAAGATACTCACAATACCGTGATGTTCACCACGCACGAAACTCCAACCAAAGCTCCGAATGAAACGTCGTTCGACGAGATCATTTGTCGATCTTCCAGTTGAACGTCGTTCCACGAATTTTTCCTGGATATTCTCATGCCTCTTCCTCATCCCCTCGGCATACATGCATGTTTAAAGGAATGCCCGCCCGACGGTGGCTTGCCTCCTAGATGTAGTAGTAGATGTAGATTCTGCCGTAGACACTCTTGTCCACGAGCACGTTGAGATGGGAAGGTTGCTTGTTATTGCAGAAGCGGGTCTGCTACAGGTCTGAGGTGAGGCGGATTGCCCTCAACCTGGGGGCACGCAGATAG